TGAGATATAACAGTTTGAATAATCTAGGGGGCGCACTTGAGTCAAATTTTAAACAACACTAACAATGTGTTTAGACATGGTCACACATTATGCCATAAAAATCTGGTGCAGATCGGATGATATATCATTGAGATATAAGGGTTGGAATATTATAGGGGGCGCTCTAGAGTCAAAAGTTAAAAAACATTACTAGTGTGTCCATCAGGGCTACTTAATAATATACCAAAAATCTGGTACAGATCGGATGATATATCATTGAGATATAACTGTTGCAAGATTGTAGGGGGCGCTATAGAGTCAAAATTTAAAAAACATTACTACTATGTCCACCAGGGCTAAATAATAATACACCATAAATTTGGTGCAGATCGGCTGATATATCACTGAGACAAAACAGTTTGAATAATGTAGGGGGCGCCCTTGAGTCAAATATTAAACAACAAAACTAAAATGTCCATCAGTTCTCAGTAATGACGTATCAAAAATCTGGTTCAGATCGGATGTTGTATCACTGAGATATAACTATAAGAAGAATGTAGGTGGCGCTGTGGAGGCTCTTGGCCACTTATCATGGAAACCTGTTCAGAGGTGGATAATGATCAATCATAGTGATTTTGGTTCACCTGGGTTCAAATCTGTGCAATTTAGAGCCAAACGTATTGCAACGGCGTTACTTTTTAATTCGCCATGGCGCCACGCCCACATTCTCCAGCTATAACTGTTTTGTTGTTTAAATCAAGTCAGACCATCTTATCTGTCTTCTAACACAGGATCATCCTGATTATGTTAAGGGTGTCAAAGAAGGACCATTCCAAGCCAAAAAAGTCACTTCCTGTTCTGAGGGGGCGGGGCTTTGATGACGTCACAATATGACCTCAGGGTATCGTCGGGCATGGGACAGGAATGACTCATGCCAAATTTGGTGCAAATCTGTCATTCAAGTTGAAAGTTATAACGTTTGGAAAATTATGGCGTGAAGCTCAACTTTGAGGCCTGGCCACGCCCCTTTAACAAAACAAAACCGAAAGCTTTTGATAACTTTTACTCTCCAATGTCTTAAAGGCCTAATAACCAAGTTTGAAGGCAATCCTTCAAAATCCCTAGGAGGAGTTCGTTAAAATTCGCCGTTAAAAACGCCCAAAAATTAACCTTTGACCCAAAATGGCCGACTTCCTGTTG